TTGTGTCAAAATTTTATATGTAGATAATTTTAGTGTGTGTATGACTTTCATCACCATCCTGTAATTTTCACCATGTTTTACAGTTAAGAACTTTGCTGTCTAAGCAGCATTTTCTCATAGCCACCATCTCTGTCTTCTGTTGTCTTGCTTCTCTCCTGGATACTCTTCCAGTAAGTATTAACAGAAAGGACATGACCAGCTTTTGAACATATAGTCTCTCCAACCATCTATATGTTACTGTTAATGAATCAAAATAAACAGATCTGTAGTCAGCAGTAAAGTAGAAATAGTTGAGCTTTAGTTAGGATAAAAAGACAACCAGAAATTAGTTGCCAATAACTAGAATGCAAGATACATGATATAGAAGTTATTATAGGGGCTCAGTGGTCAAAAGAACATGTTGTACATAGAGAGGACCCAAGTTCCCAGCACACACTGGACAGCTCACAACCACCTGTAAGTTCAACTTCAGATGGATCTGATGCCTCTTGTTTCTATGAGCACCTGCAGTCAAGTGCACACACTCACACAGTGACACACAACACATACACATAATTTTAAAATAATAAAATAAATGTTTTTTTTTTAAAAGAAGGCTATTATCCAGGAAGACTTTGATTACAAACATCTCCTTAAGTGATGAACCTTATGTTAATATGGACATGTTTATTAAAAACATTTATCCTAAAACATATCTTTAAAAATTTTATTTTTTTATACTAAAAAACATTTATTGGGCTAGGGAGATGGATCAGTGGATAAAACATTTGCTCTGTAAGCATGAAGACAAAAGTTCAGATTCTCAGAACCTATGTAAAAGCCAGACAGGTGTAGCAGCCACCAATAACTCCAGCACTGGAGGCAGAGACAAGATCCACGGAGCAAGCTGGCTAGAACAGCCAGAATTGGTGAGCCACAGGTTCAGTGAGAGACCCTGCCTCAATAAACAAAGTGTCTAAGAACAATCAAGGAAAATACCTGATGTCAACTTTAGGTCTACACACACACACACACACACACCACATTGCACATGCACCCATACATGTGTTTACACACATGTAGGTTACATATGCACACTCATACCACACAGACCTGCACAATGTAGGGGTAAAAAAGAAAGAAGGAACAGTGAGCTGGTACAATGTGGTGGGTAAAGGCATTTACTGCCAAGCTGGATGACGTGAGTTTGATCCCCGGACTTCCATGGTGGTGGAAAGAAAGAACTAACTCTCCAAGTTGTCATCTGATCTCCACACATGCACCACAGCATCCACAAAGGAAGGAAAACGAAGGGGGGAGGGAAGGAAGAAAGAATGTGAAAACAAGAAAGAAAAAGAAAAATCTTTTGATCAAGCTTATCTATCCTTTGAAGAACCAATGTGCCAGGTGCAAGGATAAATAAAATTTGCAAGAGGCATAATCTTAGAGATGAAATTTATTCTGCTAATACAAGTTATCATTAAAACTTTTAAAATCTGTTATTTTAGGATTACCTTAATCCTGAGGATGTTCTTGAATGTCATGATCTTGGTGGTTTATAATATACATGCATCCCCTCAGCCCTTAAAGAAAAGTGTGTTTGGGAATAGCCAAGCATTGTTAGCAATACATTAGTGTAGAATTACTGAGCCTCCTAAGGGAAAACTATTTGAGGACAAAAACAAATGGTATTATCACTATGGAGTTGTTTGTTTGTTATGCTTTTTATTTTCTGTCTTACAAGTCACCTTTCAAGTCTGTGACAAAATAAGAAACAGAAACGTTTTAAACTATGGCTGTATTCTGGTCTCCCAGAATTGACATGTGTAAAGGGTTTTAAAATTTTCTCTTATAGTTTAATTTGTTTCCTATTCATAGAGCTAATCCAATATTAATCATAACAGAAATATACCCATAAATATGTTTGAATTTTACAACTTAATGAAAGTCCAAATTTTTTTCCACTGTACAAACAGTCAAAGTTTCCCAAATCCACTTACAACACAGCTCCATAACAGTATGGAGCTTTACCTCTGACCCAACCCCTTGTCATCAATTCCAAAAAATAAATAAAAGAAGACTGAAAACTGACAAATCTATGCTTGAATGAAGATGAGAAACACTGCTTAGCAGAGAAGAGTTTGCCTATTTATTTTTATCTGAAAGATACGACTATGCTCTTGTACAGAGCAAGTCTTCAGTTAACTCATCTACAATCTTATGTGTGTTTCGTGCTTAAATTTTTTTCTGCTGCATTATTGTTTCCTAGTTCATCAATTTCCTCTTTTTTTATCTCCTACTTTGTGTTTTTTATTTTCTAATGATTTAAGCTATATTTATCCCACATGCTTTACTACACATTGCTTTTATTATTACGCAGTTCTTTGTTCTATTATGACTTTTAACTCATAAGTTATTTGGCAGTGTGTTTTATCATTTCCAAGTGTGTGTTTAGCATTCTGTTAAATTCAAACTTTCTTGCATTTTATTAGAGGCACATAATACTAAGTTTTTGAGATTTATTAAGGTTTTATTTTTATTGAATGCTTGCAAAAATACACAGTATAATTTGATGGGTATTTAGATGTTCTCCCCTATCCACAACTCCCCTTATTTCCCCCTGTCTAATTATACTCTATTTTTGTGCTCTATTATACATATTATAAGGCCTATAGAGTCTTATTTGTGTCCCCAAATGTCCTTCAGTGTGGGTCCATCCACTGGAGCCAGGTTAATCTACCAAGAGTCCCATGCTTGAAAGACACTGCCTCTGCCCCTCCCAGCAGCCATCAGTTGCCATGATTTCCCTAGGTTGGGTTGCAGTTTTTTACCTACTTCTTCATGTCTATGCTGGGATTTTAACTAGTTTGAGCATGCATAGGTCTTGTGCATGCTGTCACTATTGCTGTGTGCTCATTATAAAAAAGAGATTAAGGCTTTTTTTTTAAACTTTAACCATAGAGCATGATTGGATTTTGTAAATGTTCCATGTGGGCTAAGAAAAAATGAATTCTAGCTATTCACTCTAGGACTCACATCTATTCAGCCAAGCTTATTAATTATGTTTTTCATATCTACTTGGTTCTGTGAATCACATAAATATGTTAAAATCCCTAGACAAACCTCTGGCAAAACAAACCAAGAGGGAAAAATACAATATTATTAATATAAGGGGAGATACAACTAAGGATAAGATAGCAACTAGATGCTAGCAATTAGCAAAACAGGTAACACAGAAAAACTTCTTAGCAAATATATATATATATTTCACACATATATATATTTCACATATATTCCTTGTGTGATATATGGTATATAAATATCAATATCTATATATATCCTTTATGAGATATGACTTAAATATCATAAGCAGGAATTGCTGTGTAAGCACATGCCTTTAATCCCAGCACTCTGGAGGCAGAGGCAGGTGGATTTCTTTGAATTTGAGACCAGCTTGGTCTACATAACAAGTACTAGACCAGCCATGGCTACATAGTAAGACCTTGTCTTTAAAAGGGAGTGGGGGGGCAGAATCATTCTGTAACAATTAAAAATTTAAAACAGTTGTTAAAAAATTTTCACACAAAGATGAGATCAAATAATGCAAATACTTATAAGGATATACTTTGCTGAATATTAGAAGAAAGGTTGGAGCTAAGATATGGCAATATTTTACCAGAGAACATGTAAAATAGAAAACTGGGCTGAGAATTATGAGACAATAAGAAGAATGCCTTGGCTACATATATCAAAAGGGCTGTTTCTGTTTGGAGAAGCTCTGCTGGCGACCTACTGAGGCAAGCCTGGGCTGCTCACTGGTGAAGTGTGAAGGCTGTGGAGCAGCTGAGGCTGTCCTATTTGACATCCAAAAACAACCACTGCTCATAGCCTCTGCCAGGAAGGAAGAATGCCTCTGTAGCTCACAGTTACGAAAATGAACAAACTGCAGTTTACAAAATTCATGAAGATGATACACTTAAAATTATTAGAGTACAAAGGGACTATTTCCAAAGATTAAAAAAAATTTATTGTTAAATCAAGGTAAGCAATCCAGTTTTCCCAGTTTATCAGATATTTTGTACATTTTTTTCAGGGGTCTTTTTGAGACAGGCTCTCCCTGTAGCCCCGGCTGGCTTGGAACTCACTATGTAGACCAGGCTGGCCTTGAACACACAGGGATCCACCATTTAGTGAAGATGGGATGTTTGAGGTCTCACTGAGGACGGTTCCCAGGCTTGTCACCTCTCTTCCTCCTTGTTCCCATTCCTTAATTGCATGCAGAGTAATATACTTTCCTGGTATCTGTTTGGAAAAGATTGCATTTTTATGACATATATAAAAATCAGCTTTTCCCTCTAAGCATGTAAAGAAATACTGAGAACTGTCCAGAATACATTGAAGATAAAGTGTGGTAGAATCCAGAGGGGGAAATCAATTGAGAAGGTTCATTAGCAGGATCCACTTTGGATTGTTCTTCAATGTTTAGCATCAGTCCCCTCAGACTTTCATTCAGTCATCTGGCCCAGCGGCCTCCCAGCTACTCAGTGATACATGGATTCTCTAACACACCCTGCTGTGTACAGGGATCTATGTAAGAGCTATGGGAAGATGAACCAAAAGAACCATCACTTTTTTTTCTGAGGGTGGGAGGTTTCTTTTTGAGACAGGGTCTCCCTGTAGCCCCGGCTGGCTTGGAACTCACTATGTAGACCAGGCTGGCCTTGAACACACAGGGATCCACCTGCCTCTGCCTCCTGAGTGTAGGGTCAAAAGGCGTGCACCACCACACCCAGCTTATTTTGCACATTTTAAAAAGCTTGTCCCCAGCTTTATTTTCAACAGGCCTCAAATGTTTAGTAAGCAACATCCTCAGGATACAGCATATAGGCTGAACCGAGTACACAATGAAAGGGACCTCAAGCCTCTTTCCACACATAAATATCTCCTTCTGCAGCTGAATTGCAAAACATAACCTCACTGAACCACTCACGAAAACTTCAAAAGGAACTTCAACCACTCACCTGGATACAAGCCAGGGGCTCATTGGTCCAAATTGAATACCCACCAACTAAGTATATTCTTCCATTATGGACAGCAACTCCAGACTCATTCTGGCCTAAAAAGAATTGAATAAAAAAATTCCATTTCTTACATGTTTTAATCAACCCTTTGCCACCAAGACATAAAATTTTCCCCTGTGGCATTTCTGTATACTCCATGGGAATTGCTCAGCAATTTATCACTGTCCCAGGAATTAGCTACTAAGAAGAGAGTGAATGTGTGCCCAGTCACAACCAGGCCAAAATACTTATTAACCAACAACTTATTAAATACCCCATCAGTCAGCTGTATAGAACTAAGAGCTCCCTACTATGTTGAATGCCATTCATTCATAGTGGTGGAAATAAGTGGCATTTTAGATATAGAACACCCATGGTATTCAATGTAACATTTGTACTCACAAATGTTACATTTGTGAAGCAAAACCTGCTACCCCAAGAAGGCAGTAAAACAGAGCTGGGCCCCCAGCATGCCTCAAATGAAGACAAATGGCAGAAAAGATGGATAAAGCTGCTACCCTCTCTCTTTTTACACACAACCATTTTAAGATTGTATTACAGTTCCTGAGCTGGGACCAGGCTGCATAATCCCTGGATACTGACACGCCAAAATGATGAAAGGTTTCCCCTCCCATTTCAAAGAGAAGACAGAATAACTCACTACCACACATTCTTCCCTGGAGGCCATCAGAGAGTGAGAGAGTCTCTCTTTATTGATGAGCTGACAGAAGATTGACTGGGGTAATAAATACGCTAGATTCTACAGCAGGTGGAATCCCAGATCCAGGGATCTGGGATCTAAGTTCCACACAACTGGGAGTTTGGTCCTTATAATTCGCCTAAAAAAACCATTTTGCAAAAAGAGGAGCTCAATAAAAAGCACCTAAATCTCTGGTCATGTTCCATCCCAGCAGCATCTCAGAGTGACTGAAAGCCCACTCAGCATAGTGAAATGCCTTCAGGAAATAATCTAACCCACTACTTAGACTTTGTGATTTTCCTCTCTCTTAAACAGTCCTGGAAGGGATCCTACCACTTGTGGATGTTAATAATACAAACTGACAAGGGAGACAAACTTTTTCAATTCCATCCAGAATATCAGGGTAGATTCATTGCTACTCTATTTATTCCATTCCTTTTTGTGATGAGTAGGAGCCACATCTGTGGCTGCCCTGTGGAAAGGCCTGGATGGAGTGTGTGGCCAGAATTCCAGCCAAATTCCTGTTTTTAGATATAGCCAGAAACAATATTCAGCAGTGACAAACTCCTGCACTTCTGAGAAATACAGTGAGAGGTAGAACATGAATTGATTCCATAACAAGTAATTAGGGGCTGGAGATATGGCTTGGTACGATGCTTGGCTAGCATCTATGACGTCTGGGGTTTGAGTCTCAGCTCTGCATGAAAGCAGCATGGTCACGCATACCTGCAGTCCTACGACAAGGAAGATGGAGACACAAAGATCAGAAGTTCAAGGTCACTCTTTACTACATAATGATTTCGAGGCCAATTTGGGATATATGACACCCTGCCTCAAAAATGTGGGGGGTAACAGCTACTATTAATTCCTTCGGTGTCTTTTTCCTCCTGCCTGTGAATACTGACTGATGGTACTGGATTTCATATCCTTCTCTTGGTCATATGAGAACATGCACAAAGTAGAAACGAAATGCCCAGCCACGTGAATGAGCCCAGTTTTGTGAGAGATAATGCATACTTTCCTGGTTAATGGAAACAATTTGTTCTCCTGGTATGCAAATAATATTTAGAGATGCACCCAAGATGTTCAAGAAACAGTTTGGTGATGTCCTGAATCTCTGTTCTGGTTTTTTGCTTTTTTTTTTTTGTTTTGTTTTTAATTTATTGAACCAAAGATACTTGCCAGTCAACAAGTTGAAATTACAGCGTGTCCACTGGTCAGTGTCAATGTTATAAGAATCTATGTGGCGCACAAGAATGCGATCATTATTGTAGTCCAGGTCATTGCCTCCGAGAACATAAAGCTTCCTCTGGACAGCAGCCATGGAGTGGTAGACCCGTCTCTGCAACATGGGGCTGCGGCTTATCCACTTATTCTGAAAAGGGAAATTCAGGTGTATTGTGTTACAAATTGACCTCAGAGGTAGTAAACGCAGTGGGGGCTCACTGGCAGTTGGAACCTAATGTTAACCACATTTTATTTCATAGTACTTATGTGTTGTAGGGTATCAGCTTCATACATAAAAACAAACAAATAAAAGACCATATTCTTAGTTTGTGGCTTAGGGCATTTTCTTTTGTTGGGTTTGCCTTTTTTAGGGCATTTTGCATTTTATAAAGGAAGCATTTCATGATGGTTACCTCACATGCAGTTACAGTGTAGAGAGTAGTATCTCTAGATCCAGAATGCCTAGGTTGTAACCCAGGTGCAATCGTTAGTAAGTCACTGAACTTGTCTGTGCCTATCTCCTCATCTATAAAATGGGGGTAACGGAACCTACATGATAGACAGTTGTGAAGATCAAATTGCCTAATAAGCAAAAAGGATTTAAGAATCTGCCTCACATTTAACAACTGTTCAACACATGTACATGGCTTAAAAAATATAAGGATAAACACCAGGTACCCAAGGACTTAGGTAAGTTAGGGTGAGGTTGGCTTTCCCTTTCTTTCCAAAATTAACCTCAGGTCAGAGACCTCCCAGGACCCCTTTGTGTCAGGATTCTCTCACACTTTCACATATTTACAGCTATACTTTCTGCCAAATTGGGTAGCTATTCCACACATTTATTTGTGCTGGCAGAAGGCCAAGCTTTATATAACAACTTTATAATGGGAATGGTGAGATCTTCAATATTTCAGTCTAGGTCTTCCTCATTAATAAGAAGGTCGGCTCCTCTTAAGATAAGTCTCCTATTTATAATACAATATAAAATATAAAATTAAGTGAAAATCAAGTATGACTTTGATTTTAAATCTCGACTTGACAGATAAGTAAACAAAGTGATGGATAGGTAAACAAGCCTGACAATTTCCTTTCTCACAAACACTGAGCTTGTAGGAAGAACCCCATTCCCTTTTTGCCAAGACAAAATTGGATTTCAACTAGAAAAATCTTATATTTTACATACACAGACTTTCACCAGTTCACAAAGCTGTAGGGAAAGAGCAAAGTACAAGTACAAACATGTTTGCATAAACACTGGCATTTATAGTATAGGCATCTAGTCACTACAGGCATATATGCTATAGCATCTGTTCACTGTAGGCACACATATTAGCTCATTTCTAATTTCTCTTTTTAAGATATACTGCAGAGAAAAAGAAGTTGCTAGTTTTAAAGACTTACATTATCTGTCCCTCTGAACACAGAATCTGCTTCCAAATCAAATACATTCTTTAATAAAATAGTCAAAGCTAGCTTTCAGACATTTTGCTAAGAAATATCTTGAATGCATTATGGTTGAGTGAATTTAAAAATTCTAATGATGCTTATCTTGGGTGCTCTCTGTGTGATAACCCATTACAGTATTAGGAATCAGTGTTTGCATTAGCAGTCCAGTCCCCTGCCACAAGACTATAGATGCCATCTGGTTTGCAAAGCCTGCCTACATCCCCTGATTATATCTTTAGCTTCCTTCACTGCAGTGCCTGCCAGGTGAGCCGCCAACCGCTGCAAAGGCAAAGAAGCAGAGAGGCCTGGTGGGGTCATTCCTAATAAGCTAGCGTGTGAATACTAATCAGTGGTGGGGAAGCAGAGGTCACCCCAGTCTGCCTGTTGGCAGGTAGTGATGTGCTCTGTGGCAGATGGCAGGCATTATCGACTTTTCACAAAGGCCTAGAAGAGAAATAAGCACCAGGGCTGAATGATGGAGTTATTGAGATTCTGAGCAAGATGCAAGCAGATGTGATATTTGCCAGTACCCACCGTAAACAATATGCCAGCAGAATTTTTTTTAAAAAGAGCATGTGTGTACAAACATGAAACGGAACTCATTTCAGCAACGTTAATGCTGTCTTCCTCTTTAACCATGTGTGCACCAAACTCAAGCTTCTCTAATTAGCGTTCCCTCATGAGACAGCTGACCCATGGACATTTGGTTTCTGAAATTTATAGATTCTAATATCAGGAGACACACTCATAAAAGGAGAAATGCCTTCATCAGTCAAATGATTGTTAAAATAAAAAAATATCAGATATGCTGAGGATACTTTGCACATACCTTTGGTAGCCAGTCCAGGCCTGGCCTGCCAAAGTCAACCTGTTGTTTCATATCCTAATATCTTTTTGTATGTATATTTTTTGAATTTTTGTGCATTTCATACAATAAATCTTAATCATATTTAGGCCCCCCTCCGCTATCTGCACCCCCCATACCCCCTCTAGGCTCTATGTTATGGTCTATTGAGTCAAGCTTTTGTATCCAGATGTCCCTCAGTGCGAGTTCATCCACTGGAGTCTAGTCAGCCTATCTACAGGCCCTCCCTTAAAGAAGGTCAACTCTCCCTCAGCCAGCAGCAATCAATTCCAACAGTTCCTCACCTAAGGTGGAGGCCTGCAGCCATAAACTGATGAATATTAAACCTCCAAGTCACACCATTTTGGAATATTGTCATATCAATAAATATTTACACAACCAGACCACTGAAATGGCAACATCCAGCAGACATTTGCCCAGTTCACAGATATTTTAATAGAAAAAAAGAGCATACAAATAGTTCTCCTAGAGGTAAAAAGGCATGGTATGTGCACTGAGAAGCATGCGGGAAAAGGGACACAGCACATCAGCACTGCTGCGGACCCAGCTGTCCAATGAAAGTCATACCCAAACTCTTCCAATACTTCTAACTTGTTTTTGTCCTAGGTACTAATCTAGGACATTTTGCTTATATTAAGTTAAATGATATTATTTGATTTAACAATATGAGACTAAAAAGATGTTTCCTGCCCAGAATGACACCCTTCCAGAAAAATGCAGCTATAGGGCAGGCAAAATACTTTGAACACTGTGCAAAACTCAGCAGCATTTGTACAACATAAGAGGACCTGAAATTTTGTTACACTGACAAGGAACCAAAGCTACCAGATGCTTCCTTTCCCTGTGTAGTTTAAGGCACCTGTGTGCAGCATTCCAATTAATAATTCTTGTGGAAATCATTAAAAAAAATTATTTATTATTTTTATTTTGTGTGTATGAGTGTATTGCCTGCATGTATGTGAATGTACCCATGCCATGCAATGCTGTGAAAGTCAGAAGAGGGCTTCAGATTCCCCTGGAACTGGAGTTAAGGATGTTTCGTAGCCACCATGTGGGTGCTGGGAATCGGACCCATGTTCTCTGCAAGAACAGTCAGTGCTCTTAACTGCTAAGCCATCTCTCCAGCCCTGGAAATAATTTTTTAAATGTATTTTAATCAAGGAAATGACTTCTTACATACTTCTTACCTGATTCGGTTCATATACCATTAGTCTGTTCTGATACTGTGCTGTGTTAGTTACTCCACCTGCAATGGAGTAGCATGTGTTAGAGCTTTTCATGAATAAGAAATAAGGTTCTCCAAATAAGGATGAGCTGCAGTTAAAGGACACTTAGCTACTGGAGAGTTTCTGTTTGTACGCTTTCAGAGTGAGCCTGGGACATAATTAAGAATCTTATTGTGGAAGCCGATTCCTTTTGCAGAAGTATTTCAGTAACAATCTACTTGGGAGCAAGCAACAAGGTCTGTGGCATCACTAAGGGGCCTCCAATTCTAACATGCTGTCTGGCGTGGCCAGAATGAAGGGCAAAGCACTGACAGCGGAGGAGTGGGGCGAACACAGGGCACACACATTAAATCTCTATGTAATTTATGCCAGGGACTTAATTATATAGGAAATTATTGTCCTTAGCTAAATTGACAATATTAGAGCTCTAATGTCTGTATATTAACACAATGGAATCTTCATATTTCTTTGGAAGAAGAATACATACCAAAAAACATTACCTGTCAAAAGAGAGTTAAGGTCAGTACTATCTATTAGAAAATAACAATAGCCATAAATGTGAGTCACACATGCAATTACAAATTTTCAAATAGCCACATTTTTTTAAAGTATGAAATTAAATTTAATAAGACATTTTACTTTACCTCAATTTGATGAAATATCTCAATATAAAATCAGTGTAAAAATTACTGAGATTTAAATTTTTTCATACCGAATCTTCAAGAACCATGATACATTTGATACAGCAAAGATAAGCCATATCTCAAGTCCTCAGTATAAAAAATGTAGCTAATGGCTAATGGTTACCAAATTGGACAACATAAACCGAAAGTTTTGTTGGTTATGGTTATTACAGTCAACTTAAAAAAAAAATCCTCTTGACAATACTCAGATCTAAGAAACTTGAGAATTTCGGCTTAATTAGAAGTCACAAAAGAGGGCTGGAGAAATGACTCACTTTAAAAGTACAGAGATTTTTTATGTATATATATTACTGGGGCTCAGCAGTTAAGAGCACTGGCTGCTCTTCCAAAGGACCTGGGTTTGATTCCCAGCACCCACATGACAGCTAACAACTGTCCATAACTCCAGTTCCAGGGGATCTGGCACCCTCTTCTGGCCTCTATGGGCATTGCACACATGGATATACTCACATACATATAGGCAATACACTCAAATACATAAAACTAATTAAAAAATTTAAAGAGCCAACACTTTCAATGGCTTTTCCTACTTGTCCTCATACAAGCTGAATTTCCTTAATTCAAAATTCCAAAGTGCTCCAAAATCTGAAGCATTTTCAAAGCAGACATAATGGTACAAGTGGAAGACTTCACACCTGACCTCAAAAGATGCTGCAATAAAAGCGCATTGAGTTTTTTCTATGAAATTACCTTCAGGTTCTATGTATAATGTTTACATGAAACAACTTTTATGTTTGGAACTGGTTCCTTAGTACATCTCATTATACATATACAAATAATCCCCAAATCATAAAATCGAATTAAAACCAAACACTTGTGGCTCAAGCATTTTAGATGAGGAATGCTCATATTGCTTTTCATGCTTCTACTATGCAATGAGTCTGTAAAACCAATAATTTTTTTTTCTAATTTAATTTTTACCCTCAGATGGAAAACTCTAAGGAACAGCACACAATTCAATGAAGTGAGATTTTCTGGATAGTGCAATAATGGAAATATGGAGACAAAATATCTCTCTTTACAAATATTACCCATGGGGCTGGACAGTTGGCTCCACTGTTAAGAATACTGACTGCTCTTGCAGAGGACCTGTGTTCGATTCCTAGCACCCACCTGGTGGCTAACAATCATCCATATCTCCAGTTCTAGGGAATCCAATACCATCTTCTGACCTCTGTGGACATTGTATAGCCCAGGTACACTTACATACATGCAGGCAGTAAATACAGTCATACATATAAAATAAAAATAATAAATATTATTTATAAGTATTTTTTTAAAAATCACTCATAAAGAGTTCTAGATACTAGTGCAAAATAACATTCCTAGTAAGTATCATAAAGAGCTAATTTTGTAATAAAAATAAAAAAGTGAACCTGATGGAAAAATGTTTCTATTAGGGTCCTAATTTAAAATACAGATATACCTATAAAACCCATCAACATGTTCTTAGCATTTCCTAGCTTTAGACTGCTTTCTCCTTCTGGGGCCCTGACCTTGCTTTTTCAAGAGCATTTACTATGTAGATAGGCATAACTATAAATTTTCTTACATCTAGAATATCTTCTTTAAAGATCTGGGAAGCAGCTCTTTGAAGGAAAAGGGAAAGGGTATCCTACCTCCCAGTCTTTATGGTAGGGTATCAGTTTAACTTTGTTAGGCACTGACCAGCAAGTTCAAGTGGCCTAATTACAGAGTAAAAGTTGCAAATTTTTTGTGTTGAATACATTCACTAAGCCACCTTCCCCCAAAGTCCTTCATTTGCCCATGATGATGCTGAAGAAACCCTCATGTTTCCATGAGCAGATTCCAAAGTATATTCTCATTCTGTTTTCCTTGTCTGTCTTACAACACCCAGCACTTTTTTTTTTCCTCTGACAGTTCAAATACTTTGATTAGTTCTCTACCATCAACTCCACAGCCAAGAGTCAAGTCAACCAGAATCCAGAGGATAAGTATGTCATTCTAAACTGAAATAGAATAATCAGTCAATGCTAATACTGTTAGATACATAAAGAGATGGGCACATGTCTAGGTCAATCATTACTGTCACTAAACCCTGGAAAAAAGACTGGATCTTCTGTAATTAACCATGGCTATTAACTGGAGAGCTATTTTTTAAATTCTGAAGATTTTTTAGAAAAATATTTTACTTATTATTTTATTTTGTGTATATGAATGCCTGCATGTGTGTGAGTGCACCCATGTGCAATGCTGGCACAGGTGAGAAGGAACTATAGTTATTGAAAGTTGTTAGCTGCCATGTAGGTTCTGGGAACCAAACCCGGGTTCTCTGTAAGAGCAATCAGTGCTCTTAACCACTAAGCCATAGCTCCAGTCCCAAATTCTGAAGCTTTTTAACCACCTTTAAAGAGCATATTAATTAAATAAAGTGGCATGTCACTTTTAAGAATGACAAAAACTTTATCTACAGAGAACAGAGAGTAAGGAGATTCCTGTTCTCAAAGAAAGCATTCTTTTGATTTATTGTTGAATGTCTCATTTCTAAAATTAAATCAAAGGAAAATAAACACATTTAAGAACATTCAAGCAGCCGGGTGTAGTGGTATATGCCTTTAATCCCAGCACTAACTAGGGAGGCAGAGGCAGGCAGATCTGTGTCTCTGTGCCAGCTTGGTCTATATAGTGAGTTCCAGGCCAGCTGGAGCCACAGAGAGACCCTGTCTTAAATAAATAAACAAACAACAAAAAAGAAAGCTGAAGCTAGTTCTCCCTCCCATGCTGCCTCCTCTGCCCTGCCCTCCCATTCCCCACCCCATGTAAGCTTTCCTACTACAGTATTCCCCTTTCCCCTTTGCATCACTGCATTCTAGAAACCTACTGCTATAGAAACTTCTTAAAGCATATTCACATACAACACAAAAAGAGATTAAAAGGAGTTATCCTGTAACAGGGGGACACTGTTCCTACTAGATACCATAGGCTACCAAAGAAAAAACCCAATGCTAGGAATGGACTTGCTCTTTTGAAGCTTTTGACCTGAGGTTCCATAGATCCTCAAACAATGCTGGTCATTGTCCCTGCTCTTGGTTACCCACCGGAACTGGATAGTAAGACCCTATTGCTGAAGACACTACATACATGAGCTGTAGAACAAATAGAAATCAAACTGGTGCTAACTTCAGAGCCTCATTTCTACTGCTTAGCTTGCAAAGTGCTAGAAGGTGATATGCATACTACCTGAAGATAAAAATAATCATCGGCTTTGCCCAGTGAGCTACAACAACTGGCCTGGCAAGATATGCCCACTGGTGCAATAGTAGCACAAATGTTATGGGAGCAACCAACCACTGTCAAATTGGATTTAAGCTTTGCTTCACAAGATGGGGCCCATACCTGACATTGACATCAGGCCAGGAACCTGTGGCTAGACAGGTCACAAACTATAGGTGAAAGCCTACTGCTATTATTCTGCTAAATAGATATAGTACTAAATGGACTCCTAATGACTTATTGTTATAGCTACAGATTAACGAATCTCTCAACTCTCCCCAGAGAAGCTTCCATCATGCAGCAAATGGTGATTAACACAGAAACCCACAACTGGCCAATGTGCAGAGAATAAGAGACTGTAGAGCCCTTATCCCTGAATAGGACACCTATATCAAACTTCTGCCTCCAAGGCTAGGGATCATTGTAGAAGAGGGGGCAGAATAACTGTAAGACCCAGAGGTGGTAGATGATCGCAAGGAAACAGCTTTCCAGACAGCTGGGCAGTTAATTGTATAAACTCACAACAATGGTGACAGTATACACAAGTCCCATGTAAGCTCAAGTCAGACAAAATCCCAGCACAGACATGGGGAGGGGGGTAAGCAGCACCAATCCTGAGGCACTACTGGAAACCAAGAGCTGCTGGGAAGGAGAGAGCCAGTCTCCTTTAAGAGTATGACTATGAGTAGGTGTTCTAGTTACATTCTGTTGCTGTGATAAAAACACTGACCAAAAACTATCTCAGGGAGGGAAGGGTTTATTTGGCTCATAGCTCACAGTCCATCGTAAAGGGAAGCCAAGGGGGAACTCAGAGCAGGAACCTGGAGCACAGACCATGGAGGTACACTGCTTATTGGCTTGCTCCTCTGGACTGTGCTCAATAGCTTTCTTATTCAACCCAGGGCCACCTGCCCAGGAGTGGCACCACCCATAGGGGGATGTGCCCTTCCACATCAACTAGTGTTTAAGAGAAAGCTTTACAAGACATGCCCACAGGCCAGTTGGGTAGAGGTAATTCCCCAGTTAAGCTTCCCTCTTTTCCCAGGTGTGTTAACCAAAGCCATCCAGCACAGTAGGTTAAC